AAAAAAAAAAAAGGAAGAATTTAAATGAAGCAAAATGGTTCATTGTGTTACCTCAGTTGCTCTGGCAGGCTTTTAAAGGCCACTGAATTTTGACAACTGTGCACAGGGAGAAACAACAAATTAGTGCAGCTGGTTGGAAATAGGAAGGTTGGAGAGAGCAGAGTCTAAAGGCGTCTTGTGCCAGGGCACCTACTGGCGTGCAGAAGCCATGCTAGCAATTTGGATATCAGCAAAGCCAGATGAACGCTGCCTTCGTTTGTTAAAACGTCTCTGCTGATGAACAGAAACGGTTGTGTGATCAGAAATCTGCAGTTCGTTAGCTCCATCCTCCCTTTCCTGTGTGAAGGTTGCCTTGAGTCATCACACTCTTGGCACTCACACTCTTGTTTGTAGCCCCTTTTTTCAGGGTTTCTCTAGTGCATTTTATTTTTGGATTTTAAATGACTTGGAACCTTTAACCCTCCCTAACATTGCGAAGCTGATACCACCATCTGCGTAAGGGCAACAAGCAAACTTGACTTGCCAAGGGGTAGAGAATCCAGGAACTGTGATACCATCCTTAATTTTAGCTTCAGCTTTCTGGAAAAGTTGCTTCCATTCATCTCCAACAGTATGCCCAGTGAGCTAGCATACTGCTAAACACACGCATAGTTTCAGCTACGCACTGAACAGAACAAATGTAGATAGCACAGGGCAAGCCTTAACTCGAGTGAAGAGCAGTTCCTTTTTATTTTGACCGCAAAACATCTAAATGTATGGACCATTTATCGGAAAGGCCAGCAGAATTTCTTCTGGAAGGAAGTGAATCCAAGGAGCACCTACTGTTCAGAGCCCTGTCTTGGTGGAAGGTTGGGGGAAGCGGAGAGAAGTTGCAGGACTTATAACCATGCATGTTGTGTGCTTTGAATGCTAATGCAAGTTTGGTGTGTTTGTTTCCTAATCCAAACAGAGCGTCAGAAGCCTTGATGCATGTAGTGTGTGTTTACTGCAGCTGGAGTGGGCCACAGACCAGGTATTTATAGCCATCCGTTTCTGAGCTTTTTCTACAATCTTCACGCTGCCAGCAACAGGGATTTCCTCACCTTAAGCAGTGGTAGGGAAAGCCCTACATAATATAAAGGTGTCCACTCTTTCGCTTTCCCATGTGGAAGAACATTCTGCTGCATGTGATGTAGATGCAACCTATCTGTACTGTGCATTTTTCTCACTTGAATATTTGAATGATTTGCTTACAAAAAGAAGACTCAGTTGTGTGAGCTTCCCTACCCCACTCTCCAAGTACATTTCATTTCTTACTGCCAGCACCTCTGATGGGTGGAACCCATGCTTTTTTTTGAGCCGAGGTTGCCAGCACCTTGAACTGTAGAGTGCTCTAGGGAAGTGCACAGACCAGGATTAAAATGAGACCCTTCCACTGCTGTTTGCCTGACTTGAATGTGAATCTGTTGAATTGAAACACTACTGTGCTGTTGCAAATGCATTACTTCTGGGTTTTTAAAACAAGATGGTAATAGCGAGTTACGTATACATCTCCCATTGTCACCGATTGATTGGGCCCCATCTGACAAGAAAATAAAAAGAAAAAAGAATTAGGGAAATAGTTAGTTAGTTATATTAAGCTCTCCCTAGCCCAGTCAGAGGGGTGTGACTAAGCCTGCAATGGCCGCATGTGCAGAGTTAACTAACAAGCAGAGATCAATTTTAAGGACGTCATGTTTTATGAAAGGGTGAGTGGTATATAAACTCTTGCCCTAGCAGTCTATTAATACAAAGCTGTCTCACTAATTTGAAGTGACTTGGACACGGCTAAATTGTGTTCATGCTATTCTGTTACACCTTGAATCTTACACTCTATCAAAAGAATATGACTATTCAGTGCACTGTATTTTAATCACCTGATTCAGAAGTTAATATCTGTTTGCTTTAATGGTACATGGCCTTTTTGTATTGGTGCGACAAGGGCTTCTCGGAGGTCCTTCTGGATTCTGTAATCAAAGCAAAAATAAGTAAGTTTTTAATATATATGTCACCATGAAACAGATGTGCTAAAGCTCATTTGACTTGGCTCAGAGGCCAATTAACAGCTGCCCACCTCACTCCATAACCACAGCTATCATCATTGAATTGGACAGGAGAAATGTGGAATGAACGTAAAGAAATGGTGTTTAAAGAGGGTCATATAATTTAGGACCATAGTTTAACCTACTTCAAAATTGTTCTCCTCCGGTGGAGAGTGGTTACTGAATTCTAAACAGCTTGCTTTTTACCATCATTTTCTCTGAGAAATAACAGCAAATATATTAAGCAGAGGCTATACATAGCTCTCTCGTATTTTTCTTCAGTAGTATTTTGGATCTGTGGCGATACCCAGGCAAGACCAAAGCAGGGTCTTCGTGGATTATGTTTCTGAAGACACGTAACAGTAGAAATGGAGGGAGCGTTATTGTAAAAAAACCAAAAAAGTTATAAACCTTTCAAAGCTGCACTTACGCTTTCATTTACCATTGAGTTAACATGCAAGCTAAGCCTCCAAAATACTCTGGGCAATTATCCCTTTGAAGTGGATCTGTTTACTTTTTTTCCAGGAGGAGGACTTGAAGGCGGGAGGGTGTCTTTAATTTTTTTAAGCTTGCTTCTGTTCTGAAAAGCAACTAAAAAAAGGATTACGATGTTTCGTGCTTTTCTCAGACTTAAGATTATATTTGCTTGCTTTACAAGTTTAAATGTCTTTTCTAATTGTGAATATCGCAGCTGCTCTGGGGTCTGGACGTCAAGCTAGCTTTTTTTATCTGCCACACATACCAGTAGTATAGCACCTGTAACTGGAATTTAGTTACTGAATTTGCAGTTATTATTTAATTTACAGAGAGCTTTGGAAGGGCTGTAACATCTAATTGGTTCGCAGTGGCTAACAATATACTCACGAGAGCAGCAGTTCAGGTGAACAGTTATTATCACATTGAAATGGCATACAGAACTGAGATGCTTGTATTCCAGAGGTATATGCGTGTGAGAATGTACTGGCTCTCATACACTCTATTTCTTCTTCTTTCCATGTATAGAGAATAGTGATAAAGAAACTACCTCACTGGAAATGCCATCGTTACCAACTTCTGATGGATTGAAAAATCCAGTCCATTCTTCAGGACTAAGTTCCAAGATCTGTAATCCCACAAATCAATTACTTGACCGCTCTGTCTCCGCCCCTGCTTCAGTTGGCTCGCACAAATCTAGCCTAGCAGAGAAAATTGATCCTGGAGCTGTGAAGTCTTTGGAGTCTTCAGCTGAATGCCAGATTACCCCAGAAAAAGACCATTCTCATCTGTTACACAGTCTTGCTGACCATGCTTCTTCAGCAGACAATGACCAGCAGACAGGAGAAGCCACTTATCGTGGTCCTAATATCTCGTCACAGAATACACTTGAAAAAACCGCTGCTGCTGATAGTCTAAAGGAAAAGAATACTAAAGCACGTGGCCACGATCTGGAATCTCCTCTAGAGGTGACAAGGGAAGAGATGCCTGACACCAGTATGTGTGCACAGCAGACAGTTCCAGCGTTACCTCTGCCTTCAGAACAACTGGAATTGAACCAAATGAATGAGCTTCCTTTACATCTGCAGAGATACGAACCAGTAAATGAACGACATCTGGAGAAGCAGAATGAACCAACTGACCCAGAGTATCCTTGTAACATTGGTGGCCTTGAGTTACCTGCTCTGGGGGAGCAGGGCCTTACAAACATTCAGCCAGAATCCCTTGCTGACTCTCTTGCTGAGAAGAGAGGACACGGACTGGAGAAGGTAGGGCTTTCACGTGAGAGAGAAAATGCCCAAATGTCAGCATCCTGTAGCTGTACGCTTACGGAAACCTTCATGGAAATAGATGTAGGTGAGCAGCCTGCAATTGAAGTGCGTGGCTTGTCAAGGGAGCAGAGTGCTCAAACTAAGACCATTAGTGCATCTGGTCTGAATATCGACTGTCCTTTGATGGAGATGGAATCATCAAAGCAGGAATCTTCTTTGTCTGAACCTTTGAATAATCCATTTTCCACTAGTGATTTACTGTTGCCTGAAAGCAACGTTGAAATGACTGGAATGTGTAATGAGTTATCTAACTCGGTGGCTGAAAAGAGCTCTTCCTCCTCTGGCATTTGTCAACTACACACCGATCCAGCAGCATCCGCAGAAGAGCCATCTTTGTCTTTAGCATCAGCCTTAAAGGAGCTTCATGAACTCTTGATTATAAATTGTAAAGGGGATTCAAAAATTCTTGCACCAGAAGAGGATGCCTGTCAGCTGGCAAAGGTCCCTGAAGAGCAAGTACAATGTGAGGAGCTTTCTAAAGATGAACATGGAAACATGGGTCCAGATGGACAGGACCTAAACAGCTCCTTTCATCAGGAGAGGTTTGAACCGATGAACTCTGAAGGGCCAACTGAGGAACCACCTTGTCCTGATGAAACTGAAAACATGAGCGTCCAGTTTTTTAATCCTAGCCAGACAGCTGTTGAGAGAGATGCTCTAGAGATACAGATGTCACCAAGTACAAGCGATTCTGTCATTCTGAGCTCAGTCACGACATCGAATCAAGTACACGTGGAGCAGGCAGAAATTGGACCTGAACGGTCATTAAACGACCAACATCCAACCAATCAGACTTTGGAGAAGAATAAATCGTTTCCACCGGAGCTCGTGGTGGGTGAAGATGCCCCTCCGAACCTCTTCCCAGGAATGCCTGGAGTAACCAACAGGTCCGCAAGTACTGAAGATCTGAGGCCACCCCATCAAATTATAGAGCGACCGCCGCACCCACCCGTCAGCTATCCAGAACTGAGCTCCATAGTTCCTCCACCGCCCCTTTTTCCTGCCGCTGACATCAATCAGATTCTCTGTGCTGGCTTTACCCTGCAGGAAGCTCTCGAGGCTTTGGAACGAGCTGGTGGAAATGCAGACCTTGCTCTTCTCAGTCTGCTAGCCAAGAATATCCGAGTTCCTACATAGCCATGGAAAGGGTGGCCTGACTGGTCTGTTCTTCTAGAGAATGTACCTGAATGGTAGAGTAACCTGCAAGCAAAATGTTGAGCCAGATTTTTAAACGAGCACCATTTATTTGCAGCCAAAGTCCATTTAGCTTTTCTGTTTCTCTTGTTAAATTTGGGCCTTTTAAAACAAACAAACAAAATGTCTTGGCATTGTGTGGACACAGTAGCTTTTAATTCTCCTTAAGATGATGCATACTGGAATAAAATGTAATGTTTTTATTTAAATGTACAATTTTAGAATGATCTTCAATATTATGAAATAAAAAGCAGAAGCCATTGAGAAAACCATCACCCTGTTCAGCAAAAAGCAGATTGGGAAATGAATTGAATATGCATGTGCGTGCATCTACAGCCGAAGCATAGCATGTGATGTTACTGAAAGAGATGCATACAAGCTAGCTATTCAGTATGGTGCAGACTGAAACGGAGCTTGTCACAGTGAAGCCTTTTGGATTTGTACCAGTTATCACTCTACTGTGCTTTATAACCTGATATTCATCTGTGATGCTGATGAACAACTGTTGCAGCTACTAGAGGTGTATTGATGTCCATAGGGCTCAGGATCCAAAAACCTTTGTGGGGCGGGGGGCATGTAAACTTGCACTTTTTTTGTGCGTTGAAATCTGAAGCCTAGATTGCCAAAATATTTGACGCTAATGGGCCAGTGTGTTAAAGTTTACAGGGAAAATACTGAGTTTGGTGCTACCAAAAATGAGACAAAGCAACTGACCTGCAGTTATCCTCGTGGAGGAAGTGGAAAGGAATTATTTTACCTTTTTAGAGGTGTGCCCACCCCATTTTCCCCCATGCAAAAGAAAAAGTCCAGCCTTCTTAAGCAGAACCCTAATAATGAAATTGCTTAACAAAAGAGATTGCATCTGTTGCTGTGACTTGTCTCTACCCCACACCTAGTTTCACCTTAGTACTTACAAAGGAATTTACTGTAACTGTTCAGTGGATGAATTGTCTATGCACTGAGTAGGAACATGTGATTTAAAGGAATGAAGAAATCCGCTTTGCACTAGTTTATCTCTGCGCTTGAGAGGGATTGGCCCCTTGACTGTAGAAATGCTAACTGCAAAAAAACCCCTTCTTAGTGGCTTGCAGTGTACTAGTTTAGTACCACTTGATAGGTGAGGGCTCCCCAAGTCAAGTTTTCATTAAGGTGAACTCGAACCTAGAGCACTGATCTGGCTTCTGTATTACAACCATTGTTGCCTTTTGGGAAGCCCTCACCAAGATCTCTGTCTGTGTAGGACCCACTGAGGCTGTGCTGGGGAGGCCCTTTATTGGGGGATAAAATGCTTTCTTGGGCTGAACTGCTCTTTCTGCTTCTCTACAGAGCCTTATCGTATTATTAGGGAGGGGAAAAGGGAAAAGCATGATAAAACCTGTTACCAAATTGTAAGTAGAAACTTTGATTTAGTCCCATTTGCAGATCTCCGTGAAGTGGTAGCTTCATGTAAAATGTAATCTTTAACTTCCTGCTTCAAGCAAAACAAGCTGAAGTCATAAATCCACAGTGGCTGGACATCCATCTTCTCAACACATTTTGTACTTGGGGGGAGGGAGGGTTTGGGGGTCTCAGGCCTGTCCATGTTTGTTCTTGCTTAGAATAACTGCATATATGTATTTGGGGCTTTCATGGGAGCTGATTTACAAAAACACATGTATTCTGTCGGACTGCATAGGCTTTCTGATGTCAGTGATGAAAGATTTGACAGATCTTTTTAGGTACCTAGGTAGTCAAGAAAGCCTTTGGAACAAATAAAAAGCTTTGAGGAATCCTGTGAACAGCTAACAGATCTTTCACTGAATTGTGAGTATGTAACCTAGGCAAAATCAGTTTATTTTAGACTCTGTTTGAGTTGAGATCTTGAAGAAATGCAGGTGCTTCACAATGTTTCCCATGCAGCTCATGACAGTAAGTCCCTGATAAAATACTTTGGTATTCTACATACGGCAAGCATCCCAGAGAACGCAGTACCTCCTGTAGTGTCTCAGGCCATTATTGCAGAACTGTCCTAACAAGTGCTCTAAGGAGACAAGATGCACTGCTATATCCATCGCTGGTTGCATGTGATTCGCTAGGCTGAAAGCAGCAACTAAGGGCAAAGTTCTTCCGACACAGCGTCCTCAAACTCAAGAGCTGGGCTCTCCTCCTGTGTATGTTCATACAGCCCCATGGTTTTTGAGTGGGGAGCTCCTTGAGGAGGCTGTCAGCTGGTGTAGCTCCACTGAAGACACCTGAAGGTCTGCCCTCTTGTGCGTATCTAGAAGCTGACTTTGTGCTTTAGCATGCAGATTGATTTACTGCCAGCTCCTTCATATGTCAGACGGGCATCATTCAGTGTTATAATGGCCCTTTCCCTGTTTGCATTTTATTTTGTAGAAGCAACTGCTAATAGCTAGATGAAGTGCGGCTGCTTTGCACCAAAACGGTTAAAGGGTCTGATTTAATCTTTTAAGTGGCCACGTTTACTTAGAGATTGCACATGCTGACATTATGCTGTAGAAGCTTTAGAGCATCAGCCAATTTGCTTCAATACTCAGTTTTATGCTTTGTCAAATCTATTGTAAGTTAAGGGATTTTTTTTAATGTTTTTTTTTTTTTTAATCTGTCTTTCTGCGAAAGCCTTTTTTGAGAATAGATGCTAATTAAGACTGCTAGAATTTCCTCTGTAGCTTCCTCTAAACTGCTAGAAAAAGACTGATGGCTAGAAACCGTTGAGCTTCAAGCTGTAAAATAACCCTACCAATATTAACTAAGATCAGTCCAAGCCTGGTGATTTAATCTCTGTTACATGAAACCCTGCTTTGAGTGAGCAATGCTACTGAATTAAAACAGAATGATTTGGGGTCTTTAGAAACAAGATTTGATAACAATGGTAAAATTTAATGTTTTGGAGATTTCAAGCGTTTTAAAGGCATGGTGCTCATCTAGTGGAATGTATACGGTTTTCCTTGGATGCTAAGAACTGTTGTACGCTGTTTTATTGTGTAGTAGGTGCTTTCCCTGTTCCCTAGGTCTGTACAATGTATTGTGTGGAGTCAGAAGTTGGATAATAATGAGAGGAGAGATTGCATATATTTGTCGTCTTTAAACAGATTTTGTCCCTCCCCACCCCCCCAAAAAAACAAA